TATGAGGTTGTGGTTTGAGATATTTTGGTTGAACTTGACCATTTTTAATATAATTCCACATGCATCAGGAGTATGTTGTTGGAACTTGGCAACAGCATGTACAGTCACACCATTCTAGCAGTCTTGCTTTAAATTATTAAGCAGTTTTTCTGTGCAAAATCCAACATTTGGGTCTTTGTTCTTCCATTTTTAAAATCATAGTAAAATATCACCAACATGTAGCATCCTCCCAAAAACTGCATTTTCATGTGAGGAAGAAATAATAAGTTGGGAGAAAGCATTAATATTGTAGACTGCCTGATCTATTTAACATTCTCCGTGCGACATTTATTACTACTGCACAGATAGGAGCCACCCACTGTCTTGCTTGAATCCTAGAATAGTATTTCATGAAGAAGAAGAATGTAATGTTATTCCTTTATTCTTTGTCAGGCTGAGCAGTTGGATATGAAGCTGCAGAAACTGAAGCAGAAGTTGGCCATTGGTTCTCACACTCTTCCTTTTTTGGTTAGTTCAGAGGAACTGCAGAAGATTGAAATTATAGGCAAAAAGCTGAAAGATAGTGCTCGAGGATGTCTCAGGTATGTTGTATCTTTTAAAATATTTTAAATAAAGCATTTTACTTTACAATTTAAATCTATGTAGTAATTACTGATAAAGAACAATTTTAACACTCACTAAGAATTGTGACAAGTTGCAGTTTGATACTACTCATAATGCTTTATTGCAAACATTTCTTATAAGGTGTTATATGAAGTTCAAATGTGTTTTAACAAAATTTCACCTGTGTCCATCATGAATGTAATATAAAGGTATTCATTAATCATTTAAATATTCATAAATATATAGTGTTTGTATTAAATTAGGATGTTACATGCACCAAACACTGTGATTTAATGATCATCACTCTCACTTTATATATTCAAATATTGGCCTCAAACTGATTATCCTGCAGTGTTTTGTGGTTTTCCTTAGTCCACTCAGGCAAATGCTGAGGTACTGCCTCAAAAGAGATTGTGATTACCTCTTCAGTATTCTTTACAGTTCATTATTCACAATCATCCTACCACTGGAGAGTTAATAGAGCAGTAGAAGTAGACTGCCTTCACATGATGTCTTCTGGATGGGTACAGAACAAGCTATGCAATCAGAATTAATATGACATGAACAATATCTTCCACAGAGATGAATTGGAAACTGAAATGCTTGCCGTGTTGGCAAACAACCAGCAGTCATTTCTAGTCCATTTTCTACAGTGCTCCTCAATGATAGACAGTGTTCCTCTGCAGAAGGCTACCAGAATGTGCCCTCAGATTCCTGTGCTGCTTGTAGCTCATAGTGAGGGAAGTGTCAAAGCAAAGTGTTGTGTGCCTAAGGTATGTCATTGTCTTACTTCATATTTGTGTTAGGAAATGTTCTCTGGACTAATTCTAATTGCTTGATGCACTGAATACATCTAGAACCCTGACACACTGATCAGTGACCTAGAATGCCTGGGCTTTGATGGTTAGAAGTTAGGAATATTTACTCTCACCACCACATCTAGAATGGTACTGAGGTTATTATTTGTGGTGGTGGAGTTCAGCATTGCCCTAACAGACTGTTAAAATTATTTACAAAGCACTGAAGCAGGATACAACTGGGTATTGGATTGTCAGCAGTAACTTGATTAAAACTGTATTGCATCTGTATGAATTATACAGCTTGCCTATGGACAGTGTTATGTAAGCCACCATGTACATTACATATCACAAGTTAAGCACACAAACAATGTGTAGTCTGTAATATTATTCTTAACCTGCATCCTGAGGTTGTAAATTTTGTATTACATGTAGAAATTGAGGTACATAACATATGTGTACAGTTTATTGCAAATAAATTATCCCTCACTTACAAATTAATGTCTTAAAATACTGTTAGGTTCAGGATTTATTTGTAATTCAACTTATATTTTTATCAGAACAATCTTTTGGTATTTTTTTCTGAGTGCTTGTCTCCTTGTATGTCTTACAGAACCATGATAGCCAGTCTTTAACAATGGATACTTCATATTACCATGATAACACAGCAGAATTAAAACTGTTATTATCTTTTGGGCTACTCTAGACTGATTATATGAGAAGGCTGTAACATTTAGGAAGCAGATCAGTGATAATCTCAAGCAAGGAAATATATTGTTGTTTCTGTTCATATAACCAACTGTGAATTGCTTTCACTGCTGTCTGATAGAAAGAATGCAACTACATTTTAACCCATCTGAGAAACCACAAATTGAAAATTGGACTTCATTCCAGTACTGATGTTAAAAGTGAAAGTGTCTCTATTACTTTAACGCTCTTAATAAAACTTGAATTTAAAATATTTTCAGGCAGAATTTTCCAGGAAGGTGTCTTACACTAAAGATAATCTGGTAACTTCTGAATGTGAATTGTATTGAACTGCCTCAGATTTGGGTCACATGGCAGACTTTATTATTAGCAGTTTTCTCTGAGTTAAATTCCTAGGATATTAGTTAAATTAGGCATTTCTTAGGGTTAAAGGAGAAATGATGAAAGTGTTAAATAGTCAAGGTAAAGATGAACTGTGGGTGTGTGAAAAAACATAATTTGTTGCCTTTCAAGTTGATTGCTTCAGTATAGTGAAACCTCCATTTATGCCTGCTGTGCTATGAAAAATGAATTTTAACCCAAAATTAAGAAAGTCTTAATTCATGGAACATTGCATGGTGCACTGTATTTGGATATGGTGTGTGATGTTATGTGATGATTGTTGCAGACACTGTTGTCAGAAACTTTCAATGCTCAGTTATGGATGCAACCTGTACTGCAAGTGTTCAAATCTGAAGGTGCAGCTCCAAGAGGCCAGGATCCATGCCTTGTGTTCAATATGAAAGGCAAAAAATTACAACCAGCTGACTTCAATACTTTAATGAAGGATGCTCTTCAGAGTGCTACAAAGTTTGCTGAACTCCATTTGGGACCAGCTAAGACACAAGAACAGTCCTGAAGTTCACAGTAAGTAGTTTTAATAAGTGAATTCATTCACAGAAATGGTTTAGCTGATTTGTCTACGCAAGTACAAGTATTGTATTATAAAAAAATCTTGAAGCATCCTCTGAAAGTCACAGAGGTTAAAAAAATGAAAAATTATTTTTAGTGTGTAAATATGTGTTTGTACATCCATCTCAATAAGAGAACTGAACATGTGGTTGAATTGTTAGCTGTCTTGTTTCATATCAGGTCCTGGGAAAGAATCTTTGGCTTTTCCCATGGTTTTCTTCAGTACACCTATACAAATACTGGAATGATACTGCAAAATGTGCCACAATGATTTCCACATCTTTTCTATTATTTGCAGTCATCCTGCTATTAAACAGTATGTAACTCATGAGCTGAAGAGTCTGTGTTGTAATTCCACTATGCCAGTTGTCATTTTCACGCTTATTCTATCATTGGGAACAGCAGAATCTGCCCCGTAGGTTTTTGATCTCAGAAGTGGATTTCTTCACCTCTCCTAGAAGACTGATAACACTGTGCCTGAAGCACTCGTCTTGATAATACAATTGGGACAGCTGCTGGTTTGTCATAATTAGCTGTAGTAGCTGATGCAAATTTAAACCCACTACTGTTATTAAAATTTCTGTTGTCACTGACCACTGTCAGCTACATGCTGGGTGGACAGGATTAGTTTCCAGGTAGGGACAGGATTTTCCTTTACCGTTAAATCCAGATAGTTGTAAAGATTTTGCTTACACAATGCAGTTTTTCATACAGAAACAGCATATTCAGAATTTGTTTAATGGTGATACAAATATTAACTTATACAGGATACCATACAATATTCTGAAAGGTTTTGTTTTTCTGTTCTACACTGTAGGAGATGTGCCAGTAGGTTTAAATGTTTGCAGTCAGTAGCCAAATTTTTCATTCAGTTTTGTTCTTCCATCTCCTGTCTGACCTTCTGGTGGTATCCACACTGAATAATCAGGGTCTGAAGGATCATAATCAGTTTTCTGCTGCATTGCCTATAAAAAAAGGACAGTTAATACTCCAAAGCAGGTGGCACTAGACAAGTGCACTCATAAACATGTTATGGAATGCACAAATTCATCACTTTCATACTCAAGTAAAGAACCTTCTGGTCAGCATCATAAAGAAGGTGGAGAACTGGAAATGCATGAACAGAAGCTATGTAATTTATGTTATTCTTCTAGCATTCTTAGGGTATACATGTCCAGTGGTAAGGTTCTGTTCTAATGATTTGAACCTTTGGGCTCTAATATCAGAGGTGAACTTCATATGTGAAAAACAAAATGTTAAAAATGGTATTACCATACACTTCTGTGGTTTTGAGTGACTGCAATGTTATCTAGAAATAACCTAATGAGTAATAATAATAATAAGCTACTGTTACCTTCCTATTTCTTTGCTCTGTCCTTCTCTTGTTTCTGTTCCTCTTCCTCTCTACTTCCTTCTCCTCATCGCTACTGTGAGGTTCCACAACTTCTGTGCTTGATGTGGTTTCAGAGTTTTCTTTCAGTGGTGGAAGCATTACAGGACCAAAGACTTTGGTTTTTGGATTAGTTGTATATAATTTTTTGGGATCTTGAGTGTCTAAAATGTCTACTTCCATCTTATCTTCTTTACCTGGAATAAGTAAGGTCAGTATTCATGAAGAAGAATAAATATTTTATGATTTTCAGTTTACAGTATGTGCCAGAATAGTTCAGTAATTAAAATGACTGGTTATGCCCTGGACAGCTGATATTTGGTGCTTAAGCTGCCGCTACCATTTACAGTCAGTTAAAACAATGCTTTTTATTAAACTCCACTAATTTATCATCGAAAATAACACTCAACCACATCTCCCAGAAAATGCTGCTGCAAAGTTTTGCAATATATTTTTATACCTTTCTGTTCCACATTATTTGATTTTTGTGTCTTTTTACTGTTGCGTGATGCTTTAGTTTCTTGTGCTATACTGCAACCTGGAAATCTTCCACTTTCTTCTTTTACATTCTCTTCATCTTCTTCTTCCTCCTGTTCCTGTTCTGCATTCAGAGTTGATGAATTTGGGGGATTCTCCATAAATTCCATCTGTAATTATTTAAAATGAAAGTAATAATTTACTTAAATTAACAGATGTTAGCCACAGTACAATTAATTCTACTGATTTAATATTGTCATGTGTACATCATAAAAATTATTGATGTTTTTTCATTATAAATTATAACCTCCAATTTTAAAGCTGTCATTGCTTTGTGATACTCATTCTTCCTACTGGTAAAAGTAATGACATCTGCACTCTACCATGATTGATACCAGAATACGTAACATATTTTGTACTACAATTTTGTGAAGTTAAGCTGTGTCAGGTGGTATGTAATCTTGTTTTCCATAGATATATTGGCAGTTTCCTCTTCACCACCACATTCAGAATGGCTCCAGCCACCTTCCTATCAGTTGATGTCTGAGCCTTTTTGGCCAGGAGTAAAACTGGCTGGGACTCATTCCCCTGTAGTGCTGAGATCAGGAATGCATGGAGCTTTGTGTCCATACCCGTTGACATACTTTTAAGTGCAAGGTCATTCCTTTAGGGGAGATAGTGCTTACAACATACACAAGACCAGGGACAAAATAACACAGGCTATGCAATGTTACACTTGAAATACTGATGATTATAGAAATATTGCTATTTGAACTCTGATGCAGCTGGTCATTAGGCAAGACCTGAAAGCAGAAACACTGCAGGAAAACTGTTTCAAAATAAATATGAAGAGGGTTCCTTGTGAACATAAAAAATTAAGCCTCAATAAATGGGCACTCTCTGATCAAGAATTGTATTATAAGACCAAGTGAAGAAACATAAAAGATGAAAGAATGAACAAAGATACAAAATGAGATACTTAGTCGAGAGGAACATAAAAACACAGGAAACACATATAGCTGCTTACTTGTTTTGTTTTGCTGCTTGGTTTCCGTCTGGCTCCAATTAGTGGGAGCGCTTTCTTACATGTTGCTGGTAAGTTTACAGATGGGTTGATTTTATCAGGCGGACACAATTCTGGCAGATTAGCTGGCCTGGCAATGTTAACCAGTTTCCTCAGCCTGATTTCTTCTTGTTTCAGAACTGTTAACTCAGACTGGAATATTAATAGACAACATAAGAGTTATAACAGCTTTTAAACCACTGTAGAAAACAAACTTCCAGGCTGTTCAACACTTCCAGTATCAACCAGATTATATCCTGTGACACATGAGAACTGTCTGCATTGTGTTAGTCCAGGTATGTCATCTGAATATGAAGTAGGAATACTAACCACCAGATATGTATGTAAATTTCAGGAGGTTACAGTTCTCTGTATGAGAACTATTCATAAACTTGTAAGTAAATTAAATTGGCCAGAAAACCCGAATCAAAATGCCCATTGCTGTCTGAAGAGAAATTAGATGAAACTAATGCTGCCACAAAACCCCTATAATTAGAGGAAGTTTTATTTTTAATGTGTTTAGACTCCAGTTTGGCTATTCCTCTAGCAGTCAAAATAACCATGTGCGAGTATGGCAGGAAAAGCATCAGACTCTTCCATCTGTGAGGTTCATCATTTAGCTTAACACTAATTTTATCTCACTGTATATACTGAAGCTTCATGTGAATCAAAAAATTTACCTTAATTCTGGCTACGTATTTCTTGTCAGAAGCTGGAGTAGACAGTTTCATCATGAATACATCAAGAGCATCTTCATCATCTTCATTATCCCTATCTTGTTCAAGTGACAACTTATGAACACTTTCCAATGCCTTTTCAAGTTGAATTTCTAGATCCTGAAGTTGTGATAGTATGTCACTGTGTTTCTTCATCTGAAAAGAAAGAAAAGTTATAATGCTGCAAAAAGACTTAGCAAACTCCCTGGTAGTAGAACCCAACAGTTCAAGGTGACCAGTACGAAAGACACTGGACATGATCCCGAGTTCCATCATCTTGGTACTCCCACAGCCTGTTTGTCCCAGATCTATATTAGTATCGCCCTTCAGTCTCCTACATGTCAGCTTTTCAAGATGTTTCCTAATCTCAGATCTTCTCTTCCTATTTTATTGTAACCCCTTTATTTCACCACCCCAACATAGCTAGGCAAGGCCTAACATTGCCATTCTTCTGTATTATCTGAAATGGCCACTTATGTCTTCTGAGATCTAAATCTGTGTTTTTCAGAGTATTGTTTTTAAACACTGGTAATATATGTTCTGCCCTCAACATCATAAGAGACCACAATTCTGTACAATTGAGCCAAGTACATCGGTTCAGTCACTCCCTGACAATTGGCAGCTCCCTTTCTCAGATTCTCTTTGCTATCTTCTTCCCCCTCCCTCTCCAGCATGCGTTGTTTCAAAGGAGTGACTGGGTGATAGGGATTGTTTTGGTTTGAAATGTCTTAAACTATGATTCAGCATCAGCAAGGTAAGCTGTTTGGGTTGAATCTGGTTTGGGTCCTTTATTCTAAATTCTTTCTCGCTTATCTCAATACGTGTCTGTACAGGTGTAGTGTGTGGCTGTTATAATATTATGTTTGTACAGCCTATATTGTTCTTGGAATCACCTCTTTGTTATTTCTGTTGGAATATATACAACATTATGAATGGTTAAGATTGTAGTGTGATTCATGAAAGTAACAATAGTAATTCTACCATTACTAGAGTGAATCAAGGTGAAGATTGCATCAGGGTCATGCAGGGCTGCATATATCTCTGAACATCATACAGATCAGTCTGGAAAACTATAGAAACAAAAGTCAGGGAACATATACTTATCAATACTTACCAAAGAATCATATGTCTCAACAACCTCTCCTGGATCTCTCTTGCCAGCAGCTCGCATTCTCTGCTGCCGTTTCTTTTCAACAGTTCCAGTTCTGTCCAAGAAAGTGTCCTCATCACTATCATAGTAATCCTCAGCTTCCCAGTCTTTCGCCTTACGCTTCTTGCTCTCTGTAAGTAGCATTTCTGAAGTGAATTATTGCATATAACATTCCGCAATGCACATATTCCCAAATTATTAAGATACAGAGAGAAACCTTTTTTAGTGGAGACTAGAATTTTTTAATGCTATTAAGTAATGGGAATGGATTATTTTTGAATTTTTAACATCTAAAACTAAGTCTGTGTAATATTTTCTTGTAGGATCTGATGTTTTCATGACTGAATGAATATGATAACAATAAAAAACCCACCAACTATCAGATACCAGAGTTATTGTAACAAAACTGATAAACAAGAACTGGGAGTAATCTCAAAAATTATAGATCGGCATGTTCCAAATTTTTAACATATATAAAGTTGCTTGGAATGTAAAGCTGTATATATATAAACTTACCATGAGTAGCTTGACGCAGCAGCCCATACCTGTCCAACAACCTGCAGGCCTCTAGAGCACATTGAACCACTGCTTCCTTTTTTTTGCCCTTCACAATGGCTTCAGCCATCATTGTACTGCCCCTTGCATTTTCAATTGGTAATCTAGGTGGAAGAGTAATCTTTATTATTTCTGCTATGCACATACAGTGAAATTCCTGATATACTGCACAGTTATAAGTTGCATTTATTTTCATTCTGTTAAATGTTTAAAATAAAAGTTTTAGGTCTTAATAAGATTATGCTGTATAATAATTTATGATGAACTGTTTCTGAGAAATGTGATAAAGATGAATTTGGAATTCAAGTAAAATATGTGTTTTACCTGACTGGTACACACCAAAATTAAAATCACGCAACACATTTTTGTAATCTCCCCCACTGTCAAATTTCAGTGACATCTGTCCATTAGTTTTGGAAATGAACATGTGGATGGATGGACAGATACTATGCACTTTGTGCACTGAGTAAATAAAAGCTATACATACTCAACTCTGCACAGAAACTGCCCAAATCCTTTCTCTTCAACATCATATTCCAGTTCATAGCCTTCTCGTTCAAACCAGCCTCGCAGAGTCTTTTTGGGATCATTAATATACAATTCTTCATTCTGTGTTGCAGCAAATGGGTTTTCTGTCAAATCTGCCTCCTCATCAGCATCATCACCTAAAACATAAAAAAAGAAACTTCAACTATTTTGTAATAAGCTGTTTCCTGGAAAGAAGCAAATCTGTATGAGAAGAGAACTAGAAAGACTGGGAGAATGTGGTTATGGCCTATTATAAGGAATTATCAGAGCATGTTGAATGTTAGAGTGGTTTCTTAGGTTACTTAGTGATACTGTTTGAAGAGGTTATATGGCATGGAGAGAGATGAAAAGTTGGTCATAAATGGTAAGTATATACAGATTTGGAAGAAAATGGTCATAAACCATTTCATCTTACATTCACAGTATTTACAAGGAGAGACTGCATAAATCCATGAAAAGTTTTAGAACAGGCTGTAATGTGGCCAAAATACAAACTTCCAATAATACTGCTATACAGACCTACTTGGTACCACATATAAATGGCTCATCTAGTGAGTTATCTAGAGATGCTGTCTCAACTGTACTAGTTCTGTAACACTGTGTGAGAACATACTATTCCATGCTATTTAGAATGATTCATGTTGTGTTCATTTAATTTATGGAATTATTTGAAAAAAACTGGTAAAAGAGCTCTGAACTCACCCATTCCCCAGTCAATACCCTGTTCTTCCTCCCTTTTTGCCCTTTCTTCCTCCTGCTGCTGATATTTCAACTCTTCCAGTTCTCTGGCTGCAAGTTCCACCTGCCTCTTCTGCTTTAATTGTGTGACAGTGAGTTCTGACTCATCCTCCATATCCTGCTCTGGTCCTTGCAGCAGGAACAAACGTGTGCTGAGGCCCAGTTTTAGTACATGTCCCACCTCAAATAATAATGCAACAGATTAATTTTAACATTGAATTTATATAAGGTTAAAATAAAATAGACATGTTTTGTATGTGTAGCAACTGGTAAAAGTGATGAGTTAGTGTAAAAGATCAGCAATTTGGGGCCAATTAGTTATTGAGGATAAATTTATTCTGTGGTTGCAGTGTTATATTGGTTCAGTGGTTTTGTTTGTCAAAGAATGATGAGAAGAAAAATTCATTGATCTTGAGTAGAATGGTTGGAAGAACCTGACCTTTTAGGAAAGATAAAATGTTTGATATCAAGACTTATCCATTAAAAATGTGTTCTTCAAAAACAAAATTCTGCCTTAAAGTTTTGAAACAATTATGATAGCACATTCACCAAAACAATAGCAAATCTTTGGTCAGGGGATTCTGAAAAATTCAGGTTCTCAGTGACAAGTATGAAGATGACTGTCTTCTGGAATGTTATGCTGTGTGACCTTGTAGAAAGTGATCATTTCAAAGGAGCTTACTGCCTCCAATATCATTATGATTATATATAGTATATAAAGAATACACTGATTATTCTTAAAATTATTATCAGCCTCATTGCAATGTTTGTATAAATTTCTGTGGAAGATGAGTAAAGCTACCATCTTCGAAAACAGAGCAGTTACAAAACTAAACAGAGGGAACTTAATGTTTACCCTCTGTTTTCATATGCATATAATTATATCATGAATTGCTCTTTTGGGCAGTAGATGGATCGAATTTTAAAGAATACTGATATATCTGAAGTATTCCATTTCCAAATACCCACCTGTACACGAATATACATGTTGGACTTGATCCGATTTTTATTCAGAAAGGTTCCATGTGTACTGCCAAGATCATTTATATAGAAACCAATGGGGTTATTTTCACTTTCATGAGATCGGTATTGTAATACAGCATGATACCTAGATATTGTTGGATGTGCCATATGGATATCACATGTTGACAAACGACCAAACACATAAAAAGACTTGGAACTTAAATTTATATTTTCCAATATTTTACCAGACTTTAAAATCTCAAAACTATATGCTTCATTAGGTATGCCACTCCAGTTAGGCTCCTTGTAAGGTAATGGAATTAAGCTTTCCGTAATCTTTTGTGCCGGGGATACTGCACTGCTTGTTTTAGAGTCTGGGTTTTTCAAAATGTTTGGGTCTACTTCAGCAATGTCATGTGTGCTGGAATCTGTGTCTGGGGCACTCTCTATGTCTTCCGTTTCTATTGACTGTTCTTGTGGCATAACATCTATGCTCCGTACTTTACCAACACCTTTACCTCTTCTAGGACCAATTATAAGTTGAGGCTTCTTGAATATATCGACCGATGGTCTTCCATAATCTTGAACCTTTGACGGATCCTTAACCTCACTTTCAGACGTAATAGACACTTCCGCGCCTCGATTTTCATTTTCCTCGGCTGTTCCCAGCGATTCATGCTTCTCATCCGCCTGTTCTGATTCTTGCATGTTACTCAACAGTGACCGACAGCATGAAAAGTAAGCATACCTGATATACACACATGAACTTGGACTATTAAGAATAGCGTAAACACATTGTGCAGGTCATGTACGCTTTCAGTTCGTCATTGCCAACATTTCAAGTCGCTACAAGAATAATAAATTTCCCTCAGTGGGGTTTTGAACCATTCCGGGACAACTGTGGCAATGTGTAGGCAATTGCATATCTCAGAGTTGGTATTGAATGAATTGTGGAGTAGGGGTGAGTGACAGTTTTATTTGTGAGAGAATTTCGATTAGTGTTTGTGAAATTCCATATTGGAATCTGCATGTAAAATTCTTCACGTTACCTTCGTGTATTGTGCTTACTATTCAGACCTTGGGGGTCATGCTTGGGTCAGTGTTTAACAGTGATTCCAGACAGCAAGAGGCATCGGAATACGCAGGAAGTTTGTGCCTCGTTTTTGGAGGTAAGAAATAGGATATTTTTACTTCCAAATTCAAACATTATTTAATAGTCTACAGTACGCTCTTGTACAACACTGTGCAAGAGGCGTTATTTTAGCATGTAAAATGTTGTTCAACTGTGTTGCTGAAACTGTCCTAGATAAGCCTACTTATGACATATACAGTGTAAGCTATAGGTGTTGAGTACTTCTATGACATTGGATGGGATAAACCAGCAGCAAAATTCTTGTTGATTGTGGTGTTCTGGGTTTTGACGCCTTGTAATCACGAGTTTAACCTAGAATAGAAGAAAACAGTCCACATTTTCACAGCTGAGAAAATTCAGGTTGGTTGGATGAAGGAAATCATCCGTCAAGAAATGGCGATGTTAACCTAACACACGCTGGCAAAAATTGATGAAACGATTGTCTAGAAATGAGTAGACTGTATGGGACAGGGGTATTCCTTCGTTTCGGATTAGATGGTCAAATTTAGGATAGTGGGAACGACTCAAGTTTGTACAGAAAACTGTCCAACCAGTTAGGCTTGTCTCCAGTTTCTTTTAATTGGGCTTTCACTTTTGAGAACATTGCTGCTACTCTGATCATGCTTACTACTGCTGAATTTAGAAACGAGGGATGCCTTCCACAGTGGTCAAAATCTGCCGCTGTTAATATAGCGTTATTAAATAATGATCCATCTAAACGTGTTTTGTTGGTTGCTGAAGGCTCTACTTTAATTTAAATTTAGTGTTGAAATTCTGTGGGTCAGCATGTAGCCCTTAAAGCTAACTTTGCCTCATATAACTCTGTGTACGGACAGCAGCATCCAACGTGGATTGTTTTTTATTTAACAGTCCTGTGTCAAATGCGGCGTTTATTTAGCGTCGACTGCTGTGTTGAAGGGAAGCGTCCATGGACTATTTCAGGTACCCCTGGAGGACTAGGGGGCAACTTGAGGGCAGTGAGAGACCGGTCGTATTGAATCCCCAACACCTCCTTCAAAATTCAAGTTAGAAACCGCAAGGAAATATTTATCTTTCTTTTCTCAGCATTAAAGGCCTTATATAATTTTAAATAATTGAATATTTCTTCCTTTTGACATTTTCAGTCGCTTTTACGAAACCATTGTTTGATTTTTTTTCGTAAGGTGTCATATGCGTGGTGTATAAAATAAAATGTGTTGAGATGGTCGTATCTATTTGTTCGTATGTTTCATCCCACAAAGTATTCAGTGGACATTTCAATCAGATTTGGTGTTAGGAAATGACAGGCTAAAATTTTTCTACAGGCGTACGTACTCAGATCATTAACATCTTGTGAGTGATAACAGTATGCATCAGAATAGGCTTATAACCTAAAGAAAGCCCATAGTTACTTCGAGGCATGTTCTGTGAGGGTTTGTTTAAATTTATTGTTAAATTTAGTATTTTATTTAAGTATTAGTGGGCCTACATAAAACATTTTTGAAATAAAAGTTATCGACTTTAATGAGCTCTGCTATTTTTGCCCGATTTAAACCATTTATGAACATACTAGGATTGTAATAATTTGAAAAAATTAGGTTCAAAAATAATTTTCTTTTTTCATAAATCATTTGTGCATAATATATCGAAAAATTTCTAAACTGTGGGTGTTTTGAACATGTTTGAGTATCATTCATTGTAAATTCCTTACGTATCATTTCTTCAACATGTAAGCAGTAGACAAGTTTATTTCGATTATCGCAATTTTTATCTTCGTTTAGACTTAATAATGGAACGTTAAAGTTGATTCATAAATACTCCATATGCCATTATTGAAAAAAAGAGGTTCGTTTATTTCGGCACTAGACTTTTCCACAATTACGTAATTTCAGGTGGAAGTTAAACGCGCAGAATTTCTACAGCAGACTGTTGCACTACGACATTTATTTAAATAACTGTCTTAGCTCATCATCAGGTTTTAATGTGATCAAATCGTGATGATGGGGGCGAAGATGGTCCCCGAAACTTCGACTTTTAACGAACTGATATGGCCGATATCTCAAGAAGATTTTATTAATGTTAGTAACCATGAAGTATTCAAATCATACATTTCTCTGGACGTTAACTTTCAATCACAGTTGACGTACAGATAGAACATTCTTCATAGTCTGATACACTACAGCCCTTTTCACAAATTAAACCTGAGTCGTAAGGTGAAATGTCCAAGTAACGTCTTTGTTTAAACATAATTGTTCATTGGTATACATTTTTGCAGTTAACATTTAGTCATCAAACCTTACAGGACCATAAGTGATCTTGTATCCGTGGAAACGAGGCCTCCATAGAACGTTCCAGTAATGGACTCCTATTGCTATTCGATACACCTGCTTGTTTTTTATCGGTGGGTCCACGTATTTTGTAGTTACAGGTTAATCTACATTTTATTCTGAACTTCTAATAGCAATTATTTTTATTTATTGGAACTACGTAGAGTAATGTATATTATTTTAATAAATAACAATCTTGGTGATAGTTTGCAGTAAAATACTTTATAGAATCGAATATGCAGTCAATTTTCGGAATATATTTGAAAGAAAAAATGCTCTTTTTATATCCAGGAAAGTAGGTAAGCTAACTTACATTGTATTTTATACCACATACCCTAGTCCCTCAGTAGCCTATGAGACATTTTTAACAACGTAATTTGGTCTAATTATGATTCGTATTAAGTGGGAGTTGGATCAGACCGGTACCACGAATATGACCGTCCCCCCGACAACTTTTAGTGTAGACAGATTTCTCGAAAGCCATCAAATAGTTTGTGAAATGAAATGTTCGGAGGGACAGAAGGACATACACAGCATGCTTATGCTTTCGTTTTAATTTATAACATGTACAAAGGCATTTTAAAATCTCAACATTTAATTCCGATTTCTTTGTCTTTGTCTCATGTGGGCCGAAGTGCAGTAGAATCGTGCGTTTTTTTGTTAGAAGTGTGAATTTTAACATGGTATCTTTCCCCTCATCGCCCTCACCAGTGAGTTATTTATTCTCAAAACTCGTAATATATCTCAAACATTAAAGAGAGTCCTCAGAACTAACCAGAATGTGTTAAATCTATGGTTATATTAGCTGTAACATTATCTGACGTGCTAATCCAATAACATTTTTAAAGAGAATACTAAATGATCTCTTTGACTCTATATAGCATCAATCTGAGACTCAACAAAAATTTATTATGCATCCTACAAAGTCCATAAACTACTTTTTTATAGATCGCTGCCTTGATGACTCTAAAAGTACATTTCATGAGGCATAATCATCCGCCTTGCTTCTCTTCCACTCGGCTGTATTATTAAAAAACAAAAGAGGGGCGCTCTGCGTTTATATTCTAACAGCTGTGGCGTTCAGGAGGTCGTTATAGTCGTTATGAAATAACGGATGGATTTAGCATGCAAATGTGACGGCCATAATTTCATAGATATGAAAATGGCGTCGTATGCTTACGACACCATCTTGCAAGAACAAATGAGAATCAAGTGGTTGGAACGAAGCGAGAGCGAGAGAAATGGTTAGTCTAAAACGTAAGGGTGGAGGATCTGTAAACGAGATATCTTTCTTATTGATAACACATTTATCTCTATACGCGTTCGCAGTTCTGCGGAGCCTTATTGAAATCGCCCCGCCTGTCCATCTGTCTGTACGCATTAAACAACTCGAAAACGGATAAACAGATTTTGATAACATTTGATATTAGAAGTTTTTCTTAAGATCGGATAATTTTACAACCGGTAGGACTTTACATAATTCTCAGACACGTACGTTAGCCACCAGAAGGGGGAGAGAGAAATCATCCATGATGACGTCGTCATCCAGCCAGATATCCGATCCACGAAAATGACGTTGGTTCGAGACAACTCTGGCGAATGCGCCAGTTATTTTTTACACTGTGCACGCGGTTCTTAACTTGTTATTTTCTGCTTAAATCTGCAAGTTTACTGAGAATGGAAAAGGATCTGTACAGCACAGTGTACAACTTAAGTGAATTGCTTTTCTTGTAATATAATAATTTATGCCTTTTGTTGTCAATAGCTTTAGAAAGTAGTAGTGTTTTATTCGGAAGTATTAATTAGGTCTGTGTTTATCGCAATGTGCCTGTTTTCTTAGGCAGATTTACTTATCTGAAGTTCTGGCATTAAATTATAAATTTGTCCGATTTTAATAAAACTCTGTATGAACATCATGTCATTGGAATAGGATTTGAGACTTTCGCGGCTAGTACAATCAATAAAATTTTCTCGTGCAACAGCCGCGCCAACTGGTTACCATAGTAAACCGACGTTTCGGGAACCAACTCTGTCCCCATCATCAGGGTTCTGATCTGACTGCAGTCACATCAGAACAGACAGAGTTGGTTCCCGAAACGCCGGTTTACTACGGTAACCGGTTGACGCGGCTGATTGCACGAGAAGATTTTATTGATGTCATTTGAATTTTCCCATCATAATGTTAATCTGTCGTTGACAATACCAGCACGGTAATTGTGCAAACTTCAGAGATTGAAACAAGTCGGTGTTTGGCCCTACAATATTGTAGGCCAGTAGCTACAGAATCAACTTTTGTAAAATTCTGTTTTTAAGCCACAAAATAGTAACGGTGTGGCTTGATGTATGTAGACCTACGAGAATGTGCGCTTATCGGTGGCTGTAACTGGTTATTCATATTAGCTCAGCGTGTTAAATTTATCGTATCGTGGTATAAATACAATTAATGTTTTGTAAGAATTATTTTTGAAAATTACAAAGAAGGCGGGGATGTCGACCAGATTGAGCCAAATTTTGAGTACTCCCCTGGCGTCATGTATCGACGAACTTGCAAGGGGAAAGGGTGTTTTTGTACTGAGGCGGGGGCGAGCAATTGGGTATGCTGTACACAGAAACCAGTCACTTACAAGACCTTGCTCTTTTAAATGCTGGAAATGTAACGGGTTAAATAAAGTTGTTTTAAAATTCGTGAATATTAATCGTTCTCAGGCGGATCGAATTTGATGTGTGGATTCTAGTGTATGGCTGATTGCTGGTAAATAGGCCGAGAGGCAAATTTTCCTTTTCTCTGTCTCACCAACGTTTGACATCCATATGAGTTTCCGTAGGGTCTGTACAACATAAAATTTTAAATGTCTTACTTACCGTCATAAAATTCATTAGGTACGGTGTTTGGATTGAAAGTCAGGCTCAATCGGACAGGAAAGTTGATTCGGTATTATTTATGCTTCTTAGTTTGTTGGACTGTCTGAAGGTCTGTGACAATGATTGTTCATTATAGATGACGGGAGTAGAGCCAACTCCCGAAACGTCGTGTATATCAATATACCTCAGATAATAAACAGTGTTTAATATAGTGATACTGTAATTAGTTGACAATGTATTTTCAACAGTAGGCCTGTGTGATTGAACTAGGGGAATATCCCGAATGTTGAGATAGAAATCAGCGGTTGGCATAGTAAGCATAGTGTCGCGGTTTCTTGCTGGATAGACTGAGTGCAATCTCAAGAACACCCAGGACAGTCTACTTCCGGCCAGTAACAAAATCAAGACAATTTTAATCGAAATCCGATCAGCAATTTAGAATATGAAGAATGCGGACACAGTGTTCCAGTTATGTCCGAACTTCATTCTGTTTGAGTCGAAACGGTGAACTTCAAACTAAACAAATTCTCGCTCCAAAGCAGATTCTGGCATCAACGTGTAGTCATCTTGGAACACCAAGTATCTTGTGCTTCTTGGCTGGGAGGTGACAGGGACAAATGTAGTTACAAGATTAGACCTACAAGTAATACATTTTTTTATTTCCTTCTTTTGATAGGTTGTCTGAAGTACACGATAAGTGTACTAAGTGATACACGGATCATTACCATCTGTCAATCTATATTTAATATATAGGCCTGTTCTAATAATCTTATTAAGCTTTGTGTAGGCCTATAGGATAAAGCATTAATGCAGCAAAGTGAATTTTATTGGACATTCCATTTATATGTGTTCATGGGAAAAACTCATTCCAGTGAGATTTTTGTTTATCGTTACTTACGCCCGTTTTTGGAGTACATGTCCAATGATTTATTCTGACCCTGTTTAACGACGCAAATTAAACTGCAAATGTTTACAATTATAATTATTAATTGTAGGAATGTAATGATTTAGGAGGCGGCAGTCGAATTATGTTTCAAGGTACTCTCTCGGAATTCTCTTGTAAAGATTGAGGAAAACTGTTTAAATTTATTCATAATACCCATAGCCCCGTCTAGGACTCTGACCGAATTATTTCCCAATAAAGTGATGCTTGTTATCTTTGAACGTTAGAGAATGAAAACATTTTATTACACTATTATATAAATAGTTTCATGAAGCTGTGGAAACGACTTGTCTATTGTGGTATGAACCGGGAGGGATCTGGGAGGAACTGGTAGTGACCGTCTACTAAAGTGCACTCCAGAAGGAGTCAGTTTTAATTGTTTTCTCGCCGAAATTTAAACCTCGTACTTCCTGAATGCGAGTAAGACACGTTACAACATTTTATAATCTACTTTTAACAGGCACTGGTAAGTGATCGGTATTTATTGAATGTCATAGCTTTGCGCTATATATACGTAGTAAGCAGTTCCACTGTATTACCTACTTCAGTCAGTCTAAACGTTTGTATTTGAAAGAAATTCCATAAAATTATTTTGAGGACAAAGAAGTCCAAACTGATTTATTCGTACATTATTTAAGGAGTTCATTTTTTCAAGTACAGAGATCTTATAGCATCAAATGAAATGTGAAGATATTGCCACTTGTATGTAGGCAAGGCAATGAAAGAAAACAGTCGTGACTTACTCAAAGAAATTTGTCCGGAATTCACTGGAGTAACTGGTGAGAATCACGAGAATCCACAGAATAGCCGGTAATAGAGCCGTGATTCGAACCGGTTACCTCCGGAATACAGGTCTAGAACTTCACCGCTGTACTAACTCTGTAAGTTGTTGGGAAAACAATCGCTTCTTATTCTAAGAATTGCTTTCACTTTGTGGATGAAATACCTAATTATTGACTGTGTAGGATTTGAGGTTTTCGCGTCGGTGAGTCTGAAGATGGCTGTCTTGTGGATTGTTACATCGTGTAGTCAGGTAGAAGTTTATCAACGTGTCAGAGGTCCTTGCTGCCTCCATCATCAGGGCGATCGCCTTGATTGTGAAGGCAGCAATGATTTCTGAAACGTCGGTAAACTTGTACCAACCTACACGGCGCAACAACCCAGAAGACAGCCAACCTCTAATTATTGATTGTTGAATTCCAGATATATGTCAGGCTCAGCCCGATGCTTGTGGGTGTCACGTCTCGGCCCATCAACTTAAAATAATTGAAGTTGGACTTGACAGCATGCTGCTTGTTCACATAACTAAACTTCGATGAAATTCTTTGTCAGCCATAGGGGTATAAACCTGAATTTAGAAAATCGCATTTTGTAGAATAGTTTTGAATTTCAAGCGAAATTAGCGAATTACTAGACCTGATGTCGGTGAAAGGTGGTAGAGATCAGAGCCGGAGTGGATACGTTAACTGTGTTAGCCGTGCAAAACGCGGCCAACACAGTCAAAATTACTGCTCCGCTTCTGGTGGGGATGAAGGTGGAATCAAATGAAACGGCTAGTGAAGGGCAGACAGTTCGTCGCGCAAAGAGAGACAGAATTTTAGGACTGCGATGTTGCGAGATGTTTCCGCTCGAACGTTCGTGCGATGTAATATTAAGAATGTTGTGTGCAGCCAGTAGTATTATTAATTGTTAATAAACATTTATGTTAATGTTATCACATTATTTATTACCGTGTATTTATACCAGTTAGATTCTCATCGCTAACAATACGTTACATTGTCCAACACCATGCAGCCGGAAAGCGCGACTGTCAGTTTGATGCAGTATGGACACCAACGCAAATCTTGAGTGCTTTAGTTCTTATTGCGCAACTGCCAGCTTCCCCGCTAACTTGCCTAGTTTCTTTGCGGTAATCAATTAATTTAACAGGAATGGAGGCTTAGAACTTCATTTGAGAGGCGCAACCACTTCGCTGAACAACTGTTTAACTCAGTTGTTCTCGGTCTCGAGTTCACGGCATTACTCCTAGCATCCATAGCAACCCGCCACCCTTCAAATTCACATCTTTATAGAATGAAGCCATTCTGCCATCTTGGCATGCGACTTCGCCGCCATTTTGTTATCGTCATCTTCTTGTGAACTCATTCTTCTTGTCACGTGACATTAATTTCCTCTTCGTCTTCTTCCTCGTCTTCCCCACCGGAGTCCTCGTCCAAGTCTTGATCATGATGGCGCAACAACTGCTTCTCGTCCGGCGAAGTGTCCAGCATCAGCAACTGGTCGTCGTGATCCATAATGACGTCATCATCATGTTGCCCAAGTTTGTGTGGCCCGTGGTGAGGTGGCAGTTCTGGCGAGGTTAGAGGCGAAAGGTCCGAGAGGTCAATCTTTGGTCTGTCGCCTTCTGCATCACTTAAATCAGGGTTTGGGTTGTTTTTGTTGGGCAGAGTTTGTTCCCGTGAACCCCCGCTGGCCAACAGCTCACGCTCTTTTGAATTCCGCCATTTCATGCGACGGTTTTGGAACCATATCTTCACCTGAAAGAACATAATATTCATGTTTAAAATAAAAGAAGAAACATTGTAAAATATGACGGTGAGATGTGGGCAAGGGTGACAGCGACAATTAGAATTAAAACTTAAGATCCTTACAAATTAAAACACGAGTCAACAATATATATATATATATATATATATACACACACACATAGAAACAAAAACGCGCGCGCGTGCACACACACACACACACACCCCGAAGAACATCAAAATGTCCAGGTCGACAGCAGACTCGAAGAGATTACCACGTGCCGGTCAGATTGAATCTGAGGTTTATTAGGGCTATGCTCTTCGACCTTTAGGATCAGAGATGAACGATATATCGATAACTGCGAATTAACCACTGACATCGCCGTCACCATCGGTTAATTAGTACATGAAGTAGTGGTGTTTGGAATGCCTGTTCGCTGCTGCCGTCCGTGTACAGCATCCGAAGTAGTAGATAAGTAGATGGTAACCAGCGAGGCGTTGGAAATTATTTGAATCATTGCCTGTCGTGTTCTAGTGATTGGAGTCGCTATTAGATTTCACCCTCGCCCGTTCTCCGTTCTCATCTGTTATGTTGTCTTGTTCAGGTAAAGGCCTTGCATATGAGGAGATGGCTGAACTATTCGGATAGAATGATGGTGCCCGAAATAATCTGGAATTACAGACGTATAAGGCGCAGATTAAAATTATAAGCATTCTGGGATAGAGAAGACTGCAAAGTTGGTATGAGCATTAAGTTATTTAATCCTTAAGAAGAAATGAGGACTTCTAACAGCCATGAAAGTACTGCAGGAAACTAAACAGTGAAATTTTGAAGTTTTTACTCCTGACCTAATATTGTTAGGATATTTACGTCAAGAGAAATGAGTTACACGGCCGTGTAGGATGGGGAGGTGGGGGATTTGTGTGTAAAGATGCCACATAATTTCGGGAAACTGGAAAGGAAGAGTTGACTTGAGAGACGTAATTGTTGATGGTAGAAATTATTGTAAATTAACTTCGATAAATAGTCCAAAAAGTGATTCTGGAGACGTAGGCATAGCATGCCAATGATTTGCTTAGTTTCCGTAGGCATTCATGGACGGGCCGCTTAAAAGCATCCTGTGACGCAAGAAGTTTCTCACTTTGTGTCATTAAGCCTATGCAGTCGCTTGTCCACGTGTTTAATCTCAAAACTATTCAGCGTTTATTGTGTTAAAATTGCTCTTTTCGACTTAGTCCACCGTTTAAATTATTAAGTTATAAAATTACAGTGGCCCTATAACAGGATTCCGAATTATTAATCAAGTAAAAGTGCGCGAAGTAGGACATAAAACTTACTTGTTTTGCCCTTGGGGGTTTGGTAGCTGAACTGGATAGGTTTTTATGTCCTTCCCCGTTTTCCCCTAATAACGGAAGCATAATCCAGCTTTCGAAATTCTGTAACTGTATAGCTGTATAATTTAGACGATGGATAACGTCCGAAAGAGCAATATTCACACAATTTAACGCATCATCGTGAGAAACGTACTCAGCGTGTGGACTTGTGGGTAGATACCAACGTCAATACTGAAGATGGAGGTAGGATGTTCCTGCAAAACGTTGATGTCAACTTAAAAGTCCACATAGCGTTATAATCCAAAATATTAACACTGACGCGGAAGAAAGATCAGATCTGTAAATTTATTTAAAACTTTTTCGATATAGTGAATTTGAAGAAAGGCAAAGATAAATATTTTCTGACTCTGTGCTGAGCGATCAACTTTGTAATAACAGATTTGTATTTGGGATAAATTTACATGAAGGCAAATGCAATTTAAAATAATAAAGAACATATTTTGAATATATGTGTACTACGTTGGAGTACATCCTTCCAATTCTGTTCCTGTATAATCTGCGGCAAATGCGTTACTTTATTCGTGATTATAATCTGTTTCTGAGTTCTGTTTCATCGCTTGTATCGATGCCGTACATCTGTCTCTTTAGGCATACATTTAGTGCTGGTGATTCCTTTCTCATCAGTCAACATTTGTCAGCAATCACTGGCCGATAAATCGCTTCCAAACAATACTTTCCTTCAGTATTTCCCCAGTCCCTTTGACTTTCTGTCCTAAATGGCCACCCAAGCTTCAATCTGAAACCCATTTTACTTCAAATGACGTAATAATCGATTCGATATCAACGCCATCTTTTGACCAAGTCTGTAAAAGTGAAACAGACTATCAATCATATTGCTTCCCCTCGACAGGCAGAGGTATCTAAATTGTAGTTTTGGGGAAGGAAACTTGAAGAATAGAACAGATTCAATGGTACTAGAGGGGAAAGACGTCTGTTCTTGAAAGCGACTGAAAGAGAAATCGACTTAAATGTGGTGACAAAGAGACCTACTGCAGCTGAAAATAATTCTTCACCTTGGGATTACCATGTGAATAAAATTTTCACATAGGGTTCTACACATTACATTGGTTCGCCACCTCTTGGAAATCGGAATGCTGTTTTACCACCTACGTACATAGGCATGCAGAAATGCCTTTAACGAGCGTGTTAACACAATCCACAGTATTGTTGCAAGAGTTATTACATTACTCGAATATGGCTAACTTACTAACCAACAAACGAACCAATGAACCGAATGCTTACAGATTCTTTCTAATGCCGTCTTAATACCGTGAGAACACCGATATGAATTTAGAATATCGTCTTCGATGTTGTGTTTTGAGATTATTTCAAATTGTCTGTCTTACCCGCAACAATACAGTTTGATTTGATTATCTAGTAACAATTTAATAGCTCGTTTTCAAGACTATAGGAACAACTAATACTGTTACGGAAGTCCAAGATTATCCTACAGCGTGGTGCATTCATTTAGTACGAATTACGGATAGTTGTTTTAACAGTTTTCTTTAACTAGGCCATACAGAACTTTTCTTCCGAGGTCTCTGGCCCGCGTTCACTTCGAAATAGTATCGTTTTGTGCTCGAGTAAAAATGGGTTTTATCGACTCTGACTTAAGAGTCGTGATTGTCATGTCGGTCGTAAGTGAGCGTTGATGCTAGTGCGGTTTGAAAAATGACAAACGGAGTCTGTCACGATGGAGACTGACTCGACCAGATGGCCGAACGTAAAAATAATTTGTTTTCATATACATCACATGAAGATTAAATTATAGCACTTCCGAAACGTCGTTTTTAAATGGTTTTAAATAGAAACAACACGAAGGTGATAGATAACGTTCAACAAAATAATTAAATCTGAATCTGTCGTAATTTGGCATCTTAATTTGTATTTTGTGAACCCCGTACATACATCAAGGAAAGCAACCTGCATGATAATTCTGTCTTATCACGACTCCGCGTGTAAGAGTAGGCGGTTTCTGTGTAAGTGGATCCTAGTTTCCACACAGCACAATGGCAGCTAAGGTTCAGGGTTAGAGTGGGAGGTCAAATGGAAACCATTTTTTTTACCCCGAGATTTCCATCCTCATGAAAAAACAACAACGTATATAACTAATGCCTACTTTTCTAATATCTGGAGAACAAAACGTTCAGCGAAGCGAGTAGAATTTCAATTTAAAAAAAGAACGATAATATAAAAAAGGTTTTAATAAGCGTACAACCGTATGGAAATGACATCAAAAACAGTTTTATTCACGCCCTGGTAACTTTGCTATCAAAGTTAATGCGTAGAGAAGAATAAAAGTATGATTTTTTTTTTATATCCCAACAAACGGGATTACCATTATTTGTATGTGTCAGAACAGTTGAGGGAGTTGCACCGAATTTCTAACTTGAAGAGGCTTAGCCTATGCCTACTGAATGTTGATGCATCAGTGGTTTAACACGGAAGTTTTAATGTGTGTGTGCCTTGGTAAAGCAACGCACAGAGGCTTGGTCAGAAGTAACGGTGCACGTTATGAATATTGCTGTATTCCAACGGCCTGTGGGTTCCTATTTTCTCATTCTCGCTCTTTATAGGCTGTTTATTTTGAAAAACCGTTAAGATGATTTCTCTTTTACTTCTATAGAAACTTGAGTTAAAATGTGATTTGATTTGCTTTTATAGGTCTACGCTGTAAATTCATTTTTGTAACTAAGAGAGATCTTCCTTAACTTTTTGTAGTGCATAGAGCATTGCCGCTCTTTGGTTGAGAAACCTAGTGAATATAGACCACTTGAGAGGTATTTTGCAGAAGGGAAGATATTTTAAAAATAGGCTTAGAACAAGCCTGTCCAACCAGCTGGGGCCGCAAATTACTTTTATATATTCAACAAGTCTAAGAGACGAGCACAATGTGATATACAAGTTAGATATATAAGCCTACACTTAAATACCTATAGCCTATAGGTCTTTGTGTAGTTGAAACACAATACATTGCTATACCACAATTATAATTTTCCTCTGCAAAAGTTCAGCAAGTTCTTCAGTAGACTGTAGTGTTAACATTTGAAAAGAAATCCGATGAGACATCTTCTCAACCAGCTTACCGAAAGAATGATTTTTCTGTAATTAGCCGGAAGCGAAAGGTATTAAGGCTTACAGTAGAATGGCAGTGTCTTAAAATTAGCCGGTGTTTATAGTAAATTTTACCTTCAGATTTATTTCAAAATCTTTTAATAACGGCAATAATTTCTGTAATCAAATGGTATATCTATCGAGGGAAACATGAAGTTCACGAGCTACATTTTGTCTTGTCTTGAGGTTTTCACAGCGGTGAATACGAAGATTTCTGTCTTTAGAACTAAAGTGGTTTAGAATGGAAAGTGTCCACTAGAATTGCAGAATGTGCGCCTTGGTCACTCAGGAAATCATTAGCGAAACTTGTTTATTCGTGCCGCAACACACATCAACATTTAAATGTGTTGATTTGGAATACTCTTCAGGCGACAGACAGCACAGCACACGCTACCCGTACTTTTCATCAATAATCCTTCCCTCTGGATTTCTATAACCGAAAGCTATCCGGCCTGTCGTCTGCACCAGTGCCAAATAAAATTTAATTATACGCGGCACAGATT